AAACTTACTCAGTGGTTAGTGGAATTATTCGACTCAGTCAAAACACAATTTAATAGGTATGAACTAAAAGACACCCTTGATTAGTTAGCATGATGGTATTAATATTATAAATGAAAATTTGTATTCATTCGATGTAAACTCTTTATTAACTAATGTATTTTTAGTTCAGACAGCTAGCATTTTGTGTGATTTCATTGTCATACAATATTTTCCAATCCTATTTCCTATATCTTATTTAAAGGATTTATTGCTTCTATGTAATATTAATGTTAGGTTTACATTTGAAGCCGACTGTTTCCGTCAGGTTGATGGTTTTGCTATGGGAAGTCCGTTAGGGCTTCTTTTAGCAGCTATCATTATTAAAAGTTTGTCGGAAGATTTAATCAAAAATATACCACTTTATAGGAAATATGTCAATAACATTGTAATCATAAGTGATAAGCCTTGTGCGGTCACCTCAATTTTAAATCGAATGAATGAAGTTCAGAATAGCATATCAATTACTTCTGTGGAAGAGAAAGATAATTGTTTATCTATTCTAGATATATTGCTTAGTCGACAGCCTGATGGATCAGTAAAACGGTCTATTTACAGAAAACCTAACTGGAAAGGATAGTATCTTAACTATCACAGTTTCTGCCCTGGTCGGCATAAAGGAACCTTAGGAAGGTGCGTCTTCAGGAGAATCCAACGAATATGCACTGAAGACACACTTGATGAAGAAGAAAGAAAGGTGACACAAACTCTGCTTGATAATAATTATCCAGACAAGTTCATCAGGAGATATAAAGTAGTCAGAACACCAATACTCACTCTTCAACTCGTCGTTAAGAAAGAAGTGTATATCAAGCTACCCTATATGGATGATCATATCAGCATGGTAACTAGACAGAGATTGAACGCTGCAGTTAAAAAGACTCTCTATGCTACTGAAATCATAATAATTGATAATGTGAAGCCCATATAGCCATCTAAGTCCTTAGAACATGCAAAACATTATGTCACATCCCACTGTATTTACCAATTTGAATGCCCGTGTGGACACCTATCTATAGGGAGGACTCTTCGGTTTCCCCAAGAAAGGGCTGGCTTCAGAGCATTTTACTAAGTGCCTTCAGAAGAAAACAAAATCCCCAAAACCCGTAAATGTTGAGAACAGATGACATAGCACCTCTTTCGCTAAACATACTATACAGATAGAACATAAAATTGATGTTTACATGTCTTTTAAACCCCTCTTTATGTGTTCAAAAACAATATACCATCACACTAGACTTTGTTTTGACACCAGGATAGATATACTTTTATCTCTGCTATTTGGCTTAGTGATGTTCATTGTTATTTTGACCTTCAATATGTCCTTTTAACTTGACCTTATTTATTTTCTCACCTCTTAACATGTTATTAATTTCATATATATTTTATTTATTTATTTTTTTGATTTACAGCTTGATTCCACACCGTATTTTCAGTACAAGTGTGGAATTTTCAGCATGGATATCGGTAGCCCAAATTCAGGCCGACCATAGATATCGGGTGTGCGCCGGCAGGGGATCGAACCCTGGACCATGTGCATGGTCGGCGAGAGTCCTAACCACTGTGCCACCGACGCACAAGTCCGTGTGTGATCAGATTGTTCGAAATGCGGTGTGCTTATGCATTACACTATTCGAATGAACTACGTCTTCTTATTGCTTTGTCTAAATTCATAAAGGAAACTAATTGATTCACACTTAAATAAGGCATTTGCAAGTTAAATATTATGAGATGATATCATTTTGTAGTTGCTCTGCTATCCCTCTACAACTGGCATGGGTCACAGTAATAAAATAAAGTATATGGCAGTGGGAATATTCAAAGGTTTGAGAATAACTGGTAATAAAAAGAAAAGTACATATGAATAAACAATCATGCTCTAACAGGTTAAGTAGTCGATAATAGGCTAAGGTTGAGGTCTGTTATGTTTTTTACACAATATGGGATGCATCTGATTAATCCAAAGTGCTTCTATCACCTTTAGCTACCTTGAATTAGAGTTATGTGAAATATTGAGAAGCAGTAGTTCATACTGATTTAGTGACCAGACATAAATAAATGTTTTACGATGAATGAGGATAGTTTTCTGTTAAGATTAGGTACATTCGGGTTTTCTGTGTGACTTAATAACCACATATGAACATGTTATTTCTGACGACACTGGAACATTTTCATGTAGTTGCGTTCTCTGAGCTGGATGGTTTATTTGCGAAGCTTTCACTGCCCAACTAGGCAACACCTTCAGTGCATACTTCAATTTGAAGTGAGCTTTCCGATTTCTCCACGAGTTTATTAGTCATCTCTCCTGGTGACCTTGAACGTGATTAATTGTTGTTTTTATGTGTTTTCACATCCTCTAAGCTACTTTTATTGGTACTGATTGTTTCCGTGATCTGAAGTTTGACCTTTTGTGCATGAGATTTCCTTCTGATCGATTGGTAAATGTTGTCTGTGTCAATGTGTCTATTGATTGTCGATTCATTGGAATACCAGGCCTGCTTCTAAAAATTCTCCAGCATTCTTTATGTATCCTCTGTCTAATATTTGAACATTGTCCCAGTCGAATAAGTGTCCGTGGTTGTTTGTATGCAGCGATATGAAGGAGTGGATGTCGTGTCTTTTGACTGCTAGTAGATACAGGGTGTGTAGTAGAGTCCATAGCAATTTGTTGTTTAATTATAGGTACAGGAATCGAAAATGTTCGAGATGTGAGGAAATGAGATATGGCGTAGAGTGTACGCCTGATAGCTGATCGAAGACAAGGGATAGTCTCTTCTTAATGTGACATACAATGAAGTTCTCATGATAACCATTAATCAATAAAAGGGAATGTATGCGCCGTGGCCTTTTAAACTGTTACCCTATAATCACTTTGTTATTCTACTTAAAAATGTAACTAGCTATTACCATGACGATGAATATTATGTTTTATAATTGTAATTGTTTTAATTCATGCTACCTTGGACAGTAATATCGTTTTTAATTAAATCTTATCAGGCTTTGCTTTATAATCATTGACGAGACTGTTTTCAATGCATTTACTATATACTTAGTTATATATATATCTGACAGTCGGCATCAGCGACGAAACAAACTGTCATACGTAGAACGGCGCATAGAATGTAAGGGATGTAAAATTAATAGGAACAGTTAGCAAATACAAACACTAACCAACATATGGTCAAAAGTTTGTTAGGATAAATCTTAACACTGCGTAAAATTTATCGATTCACAATGATAAATAGGAAATGTGAGATAACACCGATAATCGTTCAAACCGAAAGCGAAAAAAACACAACAAAAGTAGTAATAAGGGAAATAGCACACAAATAAACATAACAAAAATAAGTAAACGTGCATGCCTCTTTTCTCTTCTGCATCCCAGGTGGGAGTAGGGATTTTAAGACTTGGTTTCTAGGGATTTTATTTGTTTCAAGTTCGAGATCATGGATTCATATCAGTTAAAGAACCGATGGAAAACAGGGAGTACTGGAAAGGTGTTTCTTTCTAGCACGGGACTCTTCAGCAGTAGGCAACCATGCTCCCACTGCAGTTCGACCCCGGAGCCTTCCAGCTACAAGCTTGTAGACCATTCAGCTACTTGGACCCAACTCAGTGACTCATAAATTCTTACTTCTACCAGTCGATAGGTTTTTGAGCAACTACCAGCTAATGTCATCAATGAGTATTTGGCTTCACACTCTATATGATAGACTACAATGGTCATGACGTCTGACTAGAACTCAATGGGGTCTATCATTTCACGGTGAAGTGGATACTAGTCGAAAGGACTGATTGAGGGCAGTGATATGTCACCAAATTACAAAGTCAGAATTCATTAGCAACTGGATTTTGGCCCAGGTGTCTGAATGGTCAACGGGGTTCGCTTTGTAACCTGAAGTTCTTAGGTTCGCTCATCGACAGAGTAGCGGTTTCGTACTGTTGAAGAGTCCCAGACTAAGATGAAACTATTGTCCTGTACTGCCTGTTTTTTAATGGGTTCTTCAACTGACATCAGTCCATGATCAAATGTGAAACAAATAGGGACTTAACGGAATTCTTTTCTTCACACAGGTTTGGTTTGATTTACTGAATAACCAAGGCCTTCGATGTCCTTAGGAGCTTGGAACAAAGAAAGCGCTACAATTTAGCATGAATTTGATAAATAATCTCAAAATAATTGTCAGGGTTGGTTGAATGACGGTAGCCGATCAAGTGTGTGGTAGAATAGAGCATCATAAACCTTTCTTTTCTTACTCATGAAAAAAATACTGGAATGTACTTTCCAGTTCATATGGAAAGCATTCTTTGGCTTAACTTACTGACTACTTGTTCTCCCAAGACTTTATATACTATGCCTACTTCATGTCTGAAGTGAAATGCTCTTTTAATTAACTGTATTCTTTTGCAGAATTATTAGACAAAATTAATCAAGGTTGAATATATACCTGTAAACTTGAAACAACATTACCAGCGTTGTAGGCGATACCATGTACAGCTGTATTGTCTATTGAAAATAGTCTTTAAGTAGTGATAACCACGTATAAACACCCATGCAACATGTGTTCACTAAGACCAACAACGAATACAGACAAATTATGCATGTGATTCCATGCGCTGAAGATCACTATAAACGTCAGTAAAATCCCTTTAATGATTAGTAATAGTCAAAGAGTAGTCAGTTGACTACCGCATGAATGACGTGTGCCATGAGTACTGAAAGTTTAGACTTCTCAGTGGGTTACGTCATTCTAATTAATGTTAGCAGTCAGAAATTATATAATCCCTCCCTCCGCTCCCCTGCTCTTAATTAATCTGGTACATGAAGTTTCAAAGTTCTGTCTTTAATCAGTCTGAGTGCACTTCAATGAATTTATTTGTTAACTATCCTTACAAACATCAAAATTTCTCCTATAAGTCTCATTTTCATTCATTTAATGTTTTTTCCAATTTATTTTCTGTAGAAATTGATTCGAATGAATATGCCAGTTGATGAGAATGGATGTGTTCATTTTACCACGACACTGTTGGCTTTAATACGTGAATCATTGGGCATTAAAACTGGACCAACTGAAATAATGGATCAGCGAGATATGGAATTAAGAGAGACTATTTGTAAATTATGGCCAGTTCATGGAAAGAAAATGCTACATCTCCTTGTACCTCCAGATTCAGGTAGGTTAACTATTTGTAATTATCACAAATGAAAGTAGTTTAGTGTTTATTCAATTTTACTCGAGACTATGGTAAGGTGGACTCAGGTGTAAGGATCCAGCACAGGTTTTAATCAGTTTTATGATGATAAATGCATGGCTGCTTGTTGGGTAGGTATAAGATAATAGTTTATTTCCGACATTTATTGTTTTCCACTAATGTATGTATACTTTTCTAGGGGTAAAACGATTTGAGAATGAAATGCTCTACCTACTCTAAGCAGCTTTTACAGAACTATTTCATTTGATCTCTGTAGCATTCACATAAGTCTAGAGAAACAAATGACTACTGTTGCAGAGATCCAAACCGACATGTTGTGATTCAAATACATGAAATCAATCGTTGCATTATACTGTAAAGCCAAACAAACTTTCTTGTTCGAATAATAGTCCCAAAATATCACAACGATAGCAGAAATACAGTTATTTGCCATAAAATCCGTGGTACGCAACAATGCTGTTAGGCAGCTATACAGGTCAAGAGTTTCTCTAGCAAGAAAAAAGTACTGAGAACCAAGGAGAATATTCCCCAAACAGTTGGAATCAAAACTCCGTCAGTAATATCAAAAACACTAAACACTTCCTGCAGACAGTCTAAGGTCAAGGTCCTCATGGCCATCCTCGTGTTATCAACACCATCACACAACCGCAAAGAGAAGCATTTAAGTTAAGGATTAAAGAAGAACAAAGATAAATAATAAGGGTTGAGTCAACTAGTTTGAACGTCAGAACGATGATATACAGGCTAGGAGGAAAGAGGAATATAATTACAAAGTCAGTTGAAATATCCAAATAGGTACCATCTTGGACCATCCAGGAAGTATTTTACAAACAATGATTCAATTTCAATTCTGTTTTTCATGAAGCCTAAAATTATCTCCAAAAAATAAAATGTTTTTAGTTATTCTAGCTGTATTCAAATAGGCTGGCTGGATTCAACATAGAACTTGGCACCGAAGTGCAGCAGTTCGAGTTGCCACGTTCCAAATACCACACAAAGGTAGACAAGAAGATGGGTGAAGAGAATCAATGGAGTTTTGACAAGTATAAGAGTGAAACAGAATGAGTAATGGTAGAAAGGAATATGAGACTGAATATTACAGAAACTGAATACATCTGCGTAAGCCATTGACAACGATTTTGAGCCATGTCACCTATTGTCTCCAGTCATTGATTTCCAGAGTCCCGAGGGCCCCAACCCGGAAGTCTCCATCTCCCTACCTGATTCAGTTTAACTGTCAAGGATTTCATGGATTGATTGATGCCATGTTTTTGTTTGGCCACCACTTACTCTTTTCCAACCTGCACCTATATCAGTTAGCTAGTAAAGCTCGTCGGGGTGGGGGAGGTGATGTTTAGGCATGCGCAGCACGTGACCTAGCCATCTCAATCTATGTAACTTTATAGCCTCATAGATTGATTTTCTCTCTTTGCCCAACACTCTACGCCTAACGTCAACATTGCTTACCTTATTATACCACCTAATATGAGAAGGAGATCGTAGACATCTATGATCAAAAACAGTCAACCTTTTCATATCTTCAACACGTACTGGCCATGTTTCAGAGCCATAGAGGTGGATGGAGCGAACTGCTGAGCAGTACACACGTCCCTTGGTTGATAGTCGGATGTCACGCCTACGCTAGAGATGGTGTAAGTTAGCGAAAGCAGCTCGAGCTTTTTGGATTTAAATAGGAAATTCAATTCAGCAAAAACTAGGTTGTTTCAAATCATCATATTACTAGCTAGTTCAGTTTATGTTGGCTCTTATTACTAGGATGAATAGTTAGACTCTGGATTAGTGTTCACTGCAATATTGGCAAGTAGCTATGTCAACAGCCCTCTGGGTTTTATTTCCATGACCACCAGTGATGGTATCAGGCAGATTACATTCATGATCTTAATATTTAGGGTTATAATGAATTTTTACTTCTAACTGCGTAACCTGACTGGATCACATAATTCACTAACAAGCACCTATTACGAATTAGCTGTGTTCTCGTAGTAGTCCTTCTAGACAACACCTTCAGAACAGGTTTCAGTAAAAAGTTGACTAAATTCCCCATGAATGATGTAATTGTATATCCTGGCAACCACTGTTGTGACTGGTTGTTAATTTACTTCTCTGCTGGTCACTTCTTTTACTTGGAATTCGAACTTTCTTGCCATGTGATTTAAATTTCATTAGTCGGTAAATTTGGTCTATAGTAAAATGTTTATTAATTAAATCAATTAAATCAACTAGCTCAGAGAACACAAGTAATTCCATATCATCCATCTGAGCTACAAATTCCCTCCATTATTTCAGATATCTATTTTACTATCTACTGAGCTATGTTTTGAAAGTGCCTTTGATATTGCTTGCTGAAGTATGACGGTAGGGAATAAAAGAAGTGACGTTTCATTTCACCTTGTGAGTAAACCTGCAAATATCTTTCTAATAAATACTGTCAGAAGCATGCATCTGGTAAAAATTAGGACGTGTTATCTACCAGTCTTAAAACGTTTGTATCAAAAGAACTGATATGAAGTCATTAAGTTTAGCATCACTTTACCGCCTAATGAAATAAATTCAGTTTTTTGCATGATTAACTTCTTCTTCATAAATCTCCTACTCAAAGTCTTAATGTTACCCATAGAATCATACGACATGAGTATCCGCTGAGTGGAGAGAACAGTGATAGAAGTTACTAAGTGTAACGTTTTATGATTCAATGAAGTCAATTTTCACTATTACCACATATTTTTAGAAAATCATTGGAAAATGTAATCTTCATCGAATGTAATTTCTCTTAGTAAACAACGTACTGTTTGTCTAGAGAAAAGTTGTTAACAATGTCGACTAGTAATGAGATATTGACCAACGAGATTGCCTTATAACTGGAAGCTTTTGCTTCCGAACATTGGAGGGTGTTTCTCTAACTAATATCAGCTCTTGATCAAATCTGTAAATTTTGGCCAGCACAAAATTCATCTTGCTGTTCTATCTCAGATGATGACATTTAATATGCATCCCTCAGCTTTACGTTGATTCCTTTATAGCTAATTAACAGTAAAAACATAAAAATATACACCAACTCACCTGCTAACACATTATACTTAAAACTCCCTGTTCTTTTTCTGATTTCATAGAGTTACTTTACCATAAAATGACAGTTGGAAAAATTTATGCAAGCTATCTTATAATTGAAAATTGGAGAGCTACACGTGCATTTCAAGGAAAAGGAGGGACTTCAGTAAGTTTTGCTTTTCTCAATGAAAGTACTCTCTTCACTATACTGTTTGCAGGGGGATCTTATATTACTAACTAATTACTTATATCAAGACGGAAACTGATTTTACACTGGGTACAGTTTGGTTTCCAATGATGACATCTGAATGGTTCAATTATTCTCTTTGTACATGGTTCTTCCCTTCATACACTTCCATCTCTGTGACACAGAGTGCTTCTAAACACAGAGTTATACTTCTTAGATGGTGTGAAAAGTTACACTAGCTTTGGATACCCACACGCCACCTAAGCTTTTATCAGTGTCTAAAGGTGTTGCCTATCCTCCTTAGAGTTGTTTCTAAGGGTTGAATGTCTCCAGCACCCCACCAACCTTGAAAGCGATGCGTTATCTGTAATGCTTCATCCTGGCACCAGAATACAACCATGTTGAATTAAACTAGCTAAATATTAAGTGGATAAATTCTAGCTGGTCTCTAAGTGTCCACAGTGTTCCAATTTTCTCGAAAGATTTGACGGCTTACTAGAGTATAGCACCAGTTTATGCTTCCTTCACGCAAGTTAGCATACACACTGTCAAATCTCTTAGCTCTGCCATTATTAGCAAGAAAAGATAAGAAATTTGCTTAAGGGTAGCATTTTAAATGAAGTTGATAAATACTTACGACACAAATATTGCTTATTAAATCATTTGTTTCATATTTCATTCTTCGCTACCTAGTCAATTCTCATAGCATAGTTTCAGTATCAATCATTACTGTTTCCTAATACATCTATCTACCAAACACTCCTAAAAACCTCAAATTTTAATATCTGTGTAGTAGTTACACTAGTGTAACTCGAGAATATAAATCAAAGTGTTCATCACATCGATGAGTCTAGAACATTTTTACCTTTCTTACCTGATTTCCCATTATATGGGTGAAGTTTCTTCGAAAACAAACAATGCTATATGTGTTTGAATTGCGTCAATGGTCCTCTGGTAGAATACCTGCCAGCTGTTTACGTCATCTGGAGTTCAATCCTCCAGCAACACACTCTTTAACCTCACTTAGCCAGCAGTGAGACCGGTAAAGAAGGAAAGCTGATCATGAGGCTAACAACGCCACCTTGTTAAATGAATAGAACATGAATGCTATCGAAACTTTAAAGCTTAAGCTTGGAGAACTGTATTCTACTGAGAACGTGAAAGAATGGAATATTACGCGTTTGTGATAACAACGATTCTTATATACAGTTAATTATCTAGAAATAATGTTTTGATATACACCACTCATTTATTCTCTAAGATATTTGGAAGAGTAGTTTCTCTATAGACTGTTTCAGTGAACAGTTTTACTGAAAAATACTCACGGTTAGTCATCATCCTGTAGAATTCTGGGATTTACTGATAATAAAATTGAATACTTCACTATAGATGAAAGTCCTTATGAATGTCAATATAATCGCCTGATTGAAAAATCAAAATTTTGTAGAACTCAACATTGTGAAGACGAAATTTTGGGGTTTGTGCTAGACGTTTTAGTGGATTTTGAGTCAACTATAAGGAGGAATCGTAAAATTCACTGTTACCGACCCTTGTTAAGTGAGATTTATTCAGAGCGAAAATAGTTTGAGGGATCAAATGTTTTCAATAAATTCTTCTTCAGGTTCTAAAACAACAAATCCAATAATTTAAGCATACAGTAGCCAGTAAAGGCAATTTATAATCGTATAAGTAATTTATTGTGGAACAAGTATAAGATTGGATCGAACAATATATATATAAATATATATATATATGCAGTCAACAAAAGTACAGGTTTCGAGGGTGAGTGTAGTCATTGCTGTGTGAGACAATATGAATACTACAGGAAAAATAAACCAACAAATGGGATAGACTAGGAGTAACTTCAAACGTGACAAATAACTATAGTATTGATGCAGAAATAATGACTATGATGTGCTGTAAACTTAAAAGTGCTATTTCTGAATGATTATCAAATAATAATAATGAATTTAATGAAGTGAAATGAACAGGATTTTGTAAATGTGATAACATGTTAGAAAAGAATTACTTAAGCCTAAGGTAATAGAAATTATAAGAAAGGTCATGAAGTCGTAAAAGGTAAGAAATAAACGTTTGTCAGCGAAACAGAGGAACAGAAGAAGAAAAGAAAATTGTGATAGGAATTTAAAATGTGAATGTTTATCGAGGATTTGTTGGCCTTATTGTAGGCCAAGGGAAACATAGCGGTTGAACATACTTCTTCTGCATACAAAGAGTCGGTCTTCTGGCATTGATTGCTACTGCTTCAGCTACTGATAGAAGACGTAGTCGAGCTCCTCTAGATAGATTACCAGGAACGCGGTAAATAACTGAAGACGCCTGGTCAAGTTTTATCGAGTGTCCAGTACATACCAAGTGGGTTAAGACTGCAATATTTACGCATCTGGTTACCTCTTTACACAACCATACAGGTACACGTTCACGTGCGCGCATGGATAAAGCCCTGTGAGTACGGCCAATGTAACTAGCTTCACATGAGCAGGTGAATTCATAAATACACATTGATGAGGCCATCTTTGTTAATTTATCCTTGACTCGCTGTGTGACTACTGGTTTACTTGAGAAGCTGAATAACAGTTTGGCTACAGGAAATGTTTTCTCTACCGTTCTATTAAGTAGACATTTTAGAATGTCAGCTGTAATTTCCCCTTTGTAACTTAAGATGCAAAGGTTTCTTATCTGCGGTATCCATCATTAATGGGGCTAATAGTTTACTAAAATTCTCATTTGCTGTTCTAACTGAGATATGCTCTCTCAAGTAATTGAATTTGTTAAAATATATAGAGGTAAACATAAAAGTCATTGTTTTCTTCAAAACATAACGTGATTAGTTCAGTAGTGAGTGTAAATTTCAACCTAAGCCTAGAAAATACGCTGTTTATAAAATTTAGCTTTAAAATTATGTAGAGATAGGGACTAGTGTGAATTCAAATGAAATAATTTCAGTAGCGTCGGTGGCATAGCGGTTAGGACGCTCGCCAACCATGCACATGGTCCGGGGTTCGATCCCCGGCCGACGCACTCCTTTACCTCGCTAAACCAGAAATAATGCTAGTGAAGTGGAAAGTTTGGGCATGAGGCTAGCAACCCCATCCTGTAAAAATAAACACTGCTACGGAAACTTCAAGCCACTAGCTTGAAGCCCTATGTTCCACTGGGGAACGTGAGAGGAAAAAATATTTCAATAGCTTCTATGCTACTAAAATTTAACTAACAACAATCCTTTCTACATAAATTGTCTGGATGTCTAGTCTGTTTAAAAGCGTGTAAAAATTGAGGAGATTTTAGTCCAGTCATATAGAAAACTCTTTAACTACTTGTATTTTTTAAAAAGAAAATGAAGGTACATGCTTTTAATTAAACCTCTGAAAGTTGATTTCTAGAAAAACTCTATTCTGAACTAATTAATCCGTTTGTTTATTTGCTTATTGTAAACAGAAATCAGCGAGTATATTGGCAAGATTTTTTGGTGCAGTTAAACAAAATGCTCATCATCCAAATGTTGGTTCTGAAACAGAAGAAGAAAGAGGAAGGTAAGAGAAAATCTAAATACTCTAAATGACTAAAGACGGCCACTAACAATTTTAAAAGACTGATTAGTGAAAAAAATATAATATACACTTCGATAACTTCTTCACTAGGTTTTACAGTTCAAAGGCATCTGTAAGTGATGAGAAGCATTAATATGACACCAAGTTGAACATGAGATAAATGAAACAATTATGATAGAGGCTCCAGACCAGGTCGGATCAGCAAAAGTAGCTGGAACTGTTCATTTTACACACAGAGCTTTAGTTTTTTTAAGCGAATTGCGATAGCCTCTGGTGTTTGGAGTATTCGGTATCTGGAGGCTTTTGGTAGTTAATTTGGCACATGACAGATGGTAGGTAAAGATTCTTCAATGCCAGCTTTATGACCTGTTTTGACCAGATGCTTTAAAATCGAACTGTTGGTGGTTTTTACTACACCTTCATGTAACCACACTAGTAGGTGTTCCAGGGTGAGAAAGACTAAGTTCCTAGAGCGATAATCAACATCACTGACTCCAGTTAAGCAGTTAAATTGATGGATACAATAAGAGGCGGCTAGCCCAGGTATTCTATCTTTCAGTTGAGAAATCAAGATCGATCGTATGGAAAATAGGAGCTACTGCTTGGGGGCACTGAAATTCCTGCATATCGGTTTCCTGCTGTTGGTACATCACTTTTCAATAGCAATCATCTATATATAGACACTTCTTGTTAGCAGATCCAGGCGAAATGTTCCTATTGTTTTGGCCATGTGCTTCATGGTAAACCTCTCAACGTAGCTATTCTGAATTAACTCATCAGATACAAGTGTATGTTCATTTTCAAGTACATCTTCTAAGCAAATAGCTCTGACTGCTCAGCTGAGGGTCATTAGCCTATTTCCTTTATACTGAAGTGGAACAAAGCTGCGAAAATGTGTATATTATCCAGTCCACGTACTTTTCTTGTTCAAATTCCTTTCTATACTACCATCTGCACGTCTAAGAGGACAACTTTAGTTAGAAATTCTTCGCCACATCTGAATTTGAATGCAGAATTTTCCTCATTCAATTCAAATATTACTACTCACTTGTCCAGGTCATTTTAACAAATGATGAACGTACCATTAATAAAATTGGCAATAAAATGAGAACTTTATGATAAGAATTTTTAAAGGACCATTTTCTAGTTGGCTTAGAAGGAAATTTACTAACATGTGGGGTCCATTGTTAGCCCATACATCTATCTGTAGACTTCACTGTCAAACTTATAATATAAATTCATTATGCACTTCACTATCAGCTTTTTCGAGGATTTCTGTTCAGCTTTCAGTTTTTATTAACTTGGTATTTATTTGTTTGAATACGTAGTTCAACTTTTCAATCAAAGGAACACTTGTAAACATGAATGTGAAACTTGGTGAAGAGGTTGTCAAGGAGAATGTTCTTTTAGACAAAGCAATACGAAGACGCAGTTCATCCGAATCGTGTAATGCATTTGCGCAAAACATTTCGAACAATTTGCTCACACCGACTTGTCAAATGAAAATAATAAAGAGTTAAGGAGTAAGAAAATAGACTCATGGCAAGTTAAAAGGACATATTGAAGGTCAAACTAAGAATGAACATCACTAAACCAAATAGCAGAGGTAATAGTACATCTACCCTAGCTGGTATCAAAACAAAGTTTACCAAGGAAGGTTTAGTGTGATGATGAGTTATTTTTGAACGCCTAATTGCTGGGGCTTTCACAAACTTTAGGATACACCCCAAACACTTTCTAAAGATAGGTTTAGGAGACGTGTAAACATCAATTTAATGTCCTGTCTCTATAATTTATTTCTCAATAGAGGGGTAGGTTGTCTGTTCTCACCATTAATGGGGTGTGGGGAATTTTTTTTCTCCTGAGGCTACTTAGGAATATGTTCTGAAGCAAGCCCGCACTTGCAGAGGTTGAAGAGTCCCCCATATATATGTACATTCCTTGTTTCCTTAACAGTCTTTTAAAAATCTAAATTTTCTTTAGTCATGAGAGAATGCAGATGAATAAAATGTTAAATAGAACTACTTAATGTATTTTAAGGTTTTCTAAGTTTTCAACTATGAAGTCACGCTTCTAGAGTATGGAATGACGCGATCAAAATCTTGCCCATAATAGCATAGAAAATCTAAATATTTTTCGAATAGCAATTGTTTTTCTGCAGTTCTGTGGAAAGTAGGACGGGGTTTATCAAACCAGACAGCAAATACTCATCATCGAATTTTGCAGAATTCCCTACAGAAAAAGTATTTCAAAAGTAGACCTGTGGTTAGGTGTGTATATCATAGGCTCAGATAAATTAAAAGAAACCTCACTGCCTACTTAATTAATGGGATCCTCTCATCAACAGGAAACCAGACTGCTGCTAACCTCAAGACTCGCTGAGTAATAATTATTAATAAGAAACTCATTTTGTTTACTGAGTTTTAGATCATCTCGATCATATCTTAGCCAACAGAATAGAGATTCCATGAATGTAAGATTCTAAGAATAAAAAAACTGAGAAAGAATTTTTATACACATCCAAAGCCTTAAACTATTACATTCAGTTAAAGCACCACAATATTTGTGTTTCTCCCTTTATGGTGGCTAAACCTTATTGGTTGTTATCTACTTTAACTTGTCAAGAAAAGCAGTGGCCCTTAAGGTTACTTAAAACCTAAGTATGCGGAAATGCTGTCAAGTCCTTTCGCTGTTGGTTCAAGACATAAAACAGCTTTCTTTTAAACAGTGCGTCTTCTTTCTTTCCAGCTTTGCGTGTCGGAGAATTTGTGTCGTGGTGGTTGACGTCGGCAGTAGTGATTAGAATAATAAGGTTTCAAATCCACTAAGCAGGAAGTTGGTTAGCTCAAGAGACTGATGAACTGCTAGCTAATTTTCATGGTCACATCAGCAGGCAAACATTAAAGAGCTTTTTAACTTTGTCACGTTTGTTGAAAATCCAGAAAATGATACGATTTTAATTTTAGTATATATTAGTCATTAAATTTTCAGAAGACAGTTATTGAATAATCTACTGTGTCACAACTGTTTTTTCGTACTGTTAAGGCAATCGTCTCTGCAAAATTATTATAACTGAAGTTTTTGTTTTCAGAATCTACTTGGTTGAGTTTCCAATTCAGAAACCCTACCAGCAAAGTCTCACTGCTATCTATGGGCCTGTGCAGCGCCAGATGACTTATTAAGATTAATTGTATATTTATCCATATCCTGTTAATTTATAACAAGGTTAAAGCAACGCTCGAAGTAGAGTAAAACGACATGAAATCTTATTTTGCTGGCTTTTTATCAGCCACATACAATCCATGAAAGTGTAGGGCAGTATGTACGGATAGTTTCGTAAAATACTTGTTAATACAACATGATATCAGTAAACTTGAGATGCTGAAATAATAAATAACATATGCCCAGAATTTACACATATATTTATAATACACAGACGGTTCAAGTTAGTTAAAGTCATTCTAGATACTTTGAAAAGGGGACAACAGGAGAAATATAAGAAATGCATAGTTTAACAGTTATTTCGGAGATATTTTTTATATATGGTAGGATGAATTTTCTTGCATTCTTTGATGACGGTTTCTTGTTGGTGTTGGTGACTCGATTTTAAACACTTTTTGATGAAATTGTGTGGATATCCATTCTTTTTGACGACAGTTCGTAGGTACTTCCTTCTCTTTATGCTAAAAATTGCGCTGAAAATGTTGTCCAGAAGGACAACGAAAGCTCTGAAACTAAACCAGCCAGCTCAGAGAACACTACTAATTGCAGATCCTGATATTTTTGAAATAATTCCCTTGTAAAATTAAGAACACAAAGCTTAGTGAAGAATACTTTTCAACCTTATGATGATAAATTTGGTAGAAGTTTCACAGTAGGGCTAGATACTACGCTTTATTGGTTTTTTGAAAAATTAGTTGTGAAAAACTATATATGAACTAAGTAGAATATATAATAATTATACGTTTAGCATAAAAAGATCAGATTAATGGAGTTAATATAATTTGCAGAGTTTTAGATGAAATATAAAGAAAAAATTATTTCTGCTTGAAAAGTTACTTATTCCAAAGATCAGCTTATTCATAGCTAATCATTAAAATATAAACGTAACGAAAATAGTCATCAAATGTTTACTAAGCATGTTGCAATAAACTAGAACGCTACATCACTCTCCCTCTTCATCTGTTCCCTTAGGAGATATGAGTATTTGTCATTATTCTGTTAGATAGCAGTTTGCTAAATAACAAATTTATTTTGAATAACATGATTTAGGCAGATATAGAGAGATGTTAAGAGAGTATAGGTTTTTGATAAAATCAAAGGATTCACACGTCAATGCTTTTGATACCTTTGTTTAACATTCGGCGTCACTTTGTTTTCATTACTAATACTACTATGATCTCCTCCCCTTTCCGCACTGGTCACATTTAGCGCATAAGTCATGAGATAAAATTCAATGAACGTGATATGATTTTATAAATTTGACGAAAAAACTAGTGTTTTGATAAAGTAAATAGTTTCAAGTTCTTAAAATCAATCTGCCGGTAATCATCGCCAAGTGAAGGAGACAATTACTTATGTCTTGGCCAGTAAATATGATGACAGATTGTGTAATGAAGCGGATGAACGTAACATGAAGTTCATGTAATACAAACCAAGATGATATTATATCTAACCAACAAATTCGAATGATATCGCGCGCCAGGCTCTCGAGTGGAATCCAAATGAAAAGCGACGAGTGGTTCGTCCGAGGGTGACATGGAGGAGATCGTGTGGCGAGGAGGAGGAGATGAGAGATTATGGGCAATCGTGGACCCACATGTAGAGGATGGCAGAAAATAGAACGAAGTGGAGATGTGTTGTTGAATCCCTATGTTTCACTCGGAACCCAAGGAAATATTAATAAATTCAGCAGGATAATATAACTTTGTATTTTAAATTCATAGATTCTTGTGAACTTCTTAAAACATTAAAGACATTTA